ATGCAGATTAATCATGAAGGCGGAGAGAGAAAAGGAGAATCACGCTCTGCACCCCCTGGAAAATTATTTGTCTGTCCCCACCCCCAACCATCTATGAATGTGATGTGAACTAATTTTAATGTGAGAAAATACACTTTTACCAACAGGCTCCACTTCAGACTTGATACTCTTCTTCTTGATGCCCCCCCACCACCACCACAATTAGTAACACACTGGCAACAATGATGACTGCTATTGGTTACATGAGAAAATTAATTAACAGTTTCTATTTTAATGAGATGTAGACATTTTTATTTTAATTTTTTAAAAATGTTTAAATAAGTTTCTTATCACTTAATGACAGGTTTCAGAAAATGGCATTGACTGATGACTGAAAAAGTGAAAATTCATAATTTTGACATAAATTGAATTAATATTGTTTTAAGCTAAATTGTTTTAATTACTAAAACGTTCTTTTAAGATAAAGTTCAACTTTCATTAAAATAACACTAACATTAATATATAAAATTTGAATTTAAATACTTGTAACCTAATTTTAAAATTAGGTATTACAGAGAATTTTTTAAAAATGTCCTTTAACAAAATTTAACATGTTTAATGAAATAATATACAATATTATCAAGAAATATTTTTACATAACTTTAAAAAAATAATTTTGAACATTTAAAATTAAATCTTAAGAAATTGAAATAGATGAAAACTTAACTTTTAATCACAAAAATAGACTTTGCTGCTTGCTCCCTTTTCATTCCACATATGAAATAGTCAAAAACTTTCTGGGCCAAGGTTAAATGACTGAATCCAGCTCTTATAAGAAGGAGCCAAGTATACTTTCTATGGATGAAAACTTTTTAAAAGTCAGTAAAAATATCTTTTGATGTGACACTAAAGTCATCAGACGTTCTCTATATACTCTTCAGAACCGAATAATACAAATTTTTTGTCTAAATCTGTTTGAATATAAGTCCTTTCAATAAGCAAGTCTTTGATTTCAGCTGCATGCAATAAAAGTATCATCACTTCAGTAGAAAGTGTCTGCTAGCTTAATACAGCTGGAAAGCAAGCAAATTTCTGCTTTTCGGTGGCTTTCTCCCTCTGATACACTTTATATATCTGTCTCTTTTTAATGCACCCAGCTTTAAGGAAATAATATAACAGAGAAAACTAAAACTACACCCTTTTCTAACACAAGCAAAAGAATTTCTGCTTTTAGGTGACTGTCTCTCTTTCACTCATTCACTATTATGTTCTATTTCTCATGCTCCCTACTAAAAAAGCTAGTAAATTCATTGCTTTTACATGCTTCTTTTCTCACTAAACAACAAGCATTTGCCCTACTTACACTCCCTAAATAATTACACTTTTAACAATTATCCTAAGAAATGAAGAAATGGGAAATACAAAAAAAAAAAATGGAAGAGGATAATGAAAATTATCAATAATTAATTTTATATTCCACAAAATTATTTATCCTGGAAAAAATGTAAGGCAAGTAGTGCATGCATTGCATACACAGACCCTTCACCCCTGATATATATATATATATATATACACACATATATATATATATATATATATATATATATATTGAAGTCAATACCCAGCTGCAACAGTCTGTTTCATGCTTATATACAAGCTGTTGTTGCTCAGTGTATGGCCTGAAGAATGTGTATAAGCATGAAACAGACTGTTGCAGCTGGGTATTGACTTCATTGTGCACTTTTATATTTACATACAGTCTATCCATGATATTGAGCATGTTAACCCATAAATATAGCATACTTTAAAACTCTATTTTATCATATGCATGGTGCGATAGATAATTGTCATCTAAGCTACACAAAAATGAAAATAATATTGATATCTCATTTTAACAGGTATGTTTACCAAAATTGCACAAAAATATTTTGAATTATAAAAGAGTAAATTTATTCAATAAAGTCATTGGCTTCAACCACAGCCTCCAGATGGCTTTGGAATTTTCTGCAACAATACAAGGAGTTTTGTTGGTCTCACGCTCAACTGTGCCCCACACATAATAATCAAGGGGTTAGGTGGACAGATATCAGAGGTGATGTGGTTGCAGAAATGCAGACATACATGCACTCACGCTCATTGGAACTCACACAAACATAAACATTTCTGATCTTATGATTAGTAATTTATTTGTTGGGTATGAGAAATTATTGCTACCTTTTTGTGTAGGCAAAGTAGGCATTTCTTTGTAATGTTGTTGTAGGCAGGTGTATTTTTCAATATTTTCCAGCTTATTCTTGGTATAATATTTCTGTCTTTTAGAAGCCATATGTATGTGGATAGAGTAGAGCTGTTTGAGTATTTTCTGTCGGAGAATGAAAAGGTTGTGGTTGTTTTTTCTTTTCTTGAATGATCTCTCAGTGGCCCCGATGTAGTACATGGTCCTGTTGTTTGCACTTACATTGGCTCTATATATTATGTTCATTTGCTGGCAGTTACCTTGGAGTGGACATGTTGTTTTATTTCTGCAATTACCTTGAGGTTCCTTGGTTGAGTTATTGCAGGTTGTTACTTTTTTGTTGTGGCTTTTTATTATTTGTGTTATATTTTTTGTGCAGCTGTAACTGATTTTAACATTATTTTTGTTGAATATTTTTGCTCATCGGCTTGTTTCAGGGAAGTGCTTTTCTATTAAGTTTAAAAATGTCCTTCCTATATGTGTAGCGTTGACACCACAACTGACAAAAAATATTCCCTACACAATCCAACATTTAATACAGTGACCAATTGCATACGTATGCATGCAACAACACATGGATGCACATATATGCCCAATCCCACATTGTTCATATATATTTATGTTTGTGTGAGCTCTAATGAGTTAGCGTGCATGTATGTATATCTGCATGCGTCAATGAGTGAACATGCATGTATGTATGTTTGCGTATGTATGAGTGGCATTCCGACGACAATTTTTCCTCCCACTACCATAAAAACACTGATATATACAACAATATATAAATCAAAACTTTAAAAATTAATCAGTTTGCCTGACGATTGCAAATAGCATGAAACCCAGGGTCAGAAACTCACATCAATCCAACTAAATATATACAAGGACTTTTTTTTTGTTTAACTGAATATGTAGATTTTGTATATAGGGATAATAAGGTTTTTTTAATTTCTGAATACTGGCCATGTCCATAATTGATATTATTGAGATATGCCAACTTTTTTTTTATTATATACTAGCAGTAGAGCATGACATTGCCTGGGGATGTAACAGTAAGAGATAGATCAAGTATCAACCATCAAAAAGACTGAAAAATTAAATTGATAAAGATTATTGTTTAAGGTTGACGGACACGCATGTTTTAATTATTTTTTTTTGTTTTTTTGGGGGTTTTTTTTATGAATTGGTCAAACCCAAACTCAAACAAAAACATTGTTTTCAATCGTTATGAGTCTACCGATTGAATAGAATTTTATTATAAACAATTGTCTTGTAAATGGAATTATTAAAGCATTCTGAATGTAAAAATAAAGAAAAAAGTGTGCAAGACAATAAGAAACACTACATGCCAAAAAAAAGTGAAGTTTTGTTGAAATCACTTGAAAATGTAGGAAATCCGATCCCATATATAAACGAACACACACACAAACAACCTAGGTTTTATAATAAGTATAACTCGATATGAGTTGTCCCCCTTTCATTCTGGTGACAGAATCATGTTTTATCGTGTTTTCAAATTGATTTCATGCAAAAACAATTGTGTTTTTCCACTTTTGGGCGCTGTCAGAACCACCGCAAGGTAATTTTACGCAGTCCTGTGAAGTTTTGTTGAAATCAGTTGAAAAATGTAGGTAATCCAATCCAATATATAAACGTACATACACACACACACACACATACGCACACACACACAATCTGCATTTTATAATAAGTAAGATTATAAATTTTATATTATAATTATATTATAAAAATGCTGAGAATTATTTTCAAACACTTTGAAAGAGAGTGAAAGTGTCATAGTCACATCAAACTCAGCATGGATCAGAAAAAGAAAGTCATATATTCTTTTTGGAGAGACATGCAAACCATTGTTTACTGGAAACTCTCCAATACAGTCAAGACTTTGATTGTCAAAATCTACAATTCCTCAAAACTGCCCACAGCTGTACGAAACGCACCTGATGCCCAACAGTTGCATAACTGTCCTATGGATAATGAGTGCAGTTAGTTTGTTCTGACACCTGCCCTACTTGCTTGACTTGGCATTTCTTCAGATTTCCACCTTCTCTGATGCTCTCAGCAGGATTTGTTGAATGCTAATGCTTCTCATATAATAATGGCATGGAAATCTTTCTGCAAATATTGTTCAATTCAAAATCAATGCAATTCTATGACAAAATAATCTATGATTTGCTTGCACAATGATAGGAGGTGATAAATAACAATGGTGTGGCACAATCACAAACATATATATATATATATATATATAGAGAGAGAGAGAGAGAGAGAAAAAGATTGGATAGAGAGAGAAAGTGAATAAAATAAAATGCTAGTTAAAAATACTAAAAATATATATATATATATATATATATATATATATATATATATATATATATATACAGTCAAATTATATAATTTAATGTATATCAAACTTAACATAATTTTTACCAGTAAAGTGCTTATATATACTAAACAAATTATACTTATTAAATTAGAAAGAAAAATGTACAGTATTTATTGAAGGTCAACTCAGAGTATTGTATTTCATGTCAAGAGTCCTGATGAGTGACTGAAAAAATTACAAAACTCAAAATGTATTGGATTTTTTTTTTATTTAATAATTTAATATATATATATATATATATATATATATATATATATATATATATATATATATGATGGACTCTTTCAATGTTTTTTGGCATATGAAGATCTGACATTCTAATACAGTTTTTTATGTTTGTGTCATACATGACAACTTCAGTTCTACTCATCACCTGGATACAAGTCCATATATTGTGCAACAGCACAGATCTTAGGACATAGCAACAGGAATATTTGCTGACACTTTACACAGTTGTCTCTTAGCTGGTAAATATAACTGATTTAAAAATTGTGTGTGTGTGTGTGTGGAGAAGTGCTAAATATTCTTAGCAATGCTTATCAGAACCTTTTGTAAATAAACCAAACAAAATCAAATGTAGAAACAAATAATATATGATTATTTATTTAATTTTAATTGAAGTGAATCCTTAGGTTGGTGAAAGTCCATTCGGCTCAGTAGATGTTAGTTTACAAGTTAAATTTTGGTAGCAGTTGAGAATGTGCTTACTTTGGAAACTTGTGGACATCAATATCCTGTTTTCCCGACCCTCAGAAGAGCAGAAAAATGTCTTAATCAGACTTCTTCTTCTTCTTTATATGACATGCTGGGCTGGTTTCTCTGTCAGTCCCTTTTAATCTTTCTGCCTCTTAGCTGTCCATTTATATCTCTTAAGACAGGATTCAAGCTTGGTTTCAGCTAACATTGAAAGACCTTTAGTTTTGTTTTTTTTTTGATTAGCCAAAATTCTACAAGACAAGACAGACTGGGACTGAGTCAGATGAAACTGAGAACCGACCTATTTTATTGGCTAGGAAAAATCCCCAGCATGCATTTGTGTGCTTCTGCCTATAAAAGGGGAGGGGCAAGTGTTTTGCAGTCATTACAAGGAAGATTGGAACCAACATTTATAACAGAAGTTATGCATGGAGCCTCTTATTTTGGTAGATTTCTAATCACAATTGTTATACCTTGGTCAAACAAACTTCTGCTGTTTTGCAGCCATGTTCAGTCTTTTCTTCTTCTTCTTCCTGTTTTTATTTGAGGGTTGCCTTCTCATTAATTGGAAGAGAAGGTTAGAAAGAGGAAGAGATAGAGAAAAAGAGATAAGAGTTTTAAAGGAAAGAATATGCTTTGTTTTAATTTGTATTCTTTTTTTGTTTAGCTATTTTATTTCATATTGTTTTTTTTTATCTGGGCTCACCACACACACACACACACACACATACATATATATATATATATATATAAAAGAAATATGTTGTAGTGGTTCCAACGAGAGAAAAGTATGTATAGAAAAAAAAGAGGGGTGCCATAAACGTTTTTTGGTTGTAATGTGAATTTATTGAACATGAAAAATATTATACTTTGTTTTACATAATTTGTAAAAACGTGTTTCTGGTCTGAAAGACGGTAACCGTCTTCAGGTGAAAGTGGAGATTTTTACATATTATTAAAAATAATTAATTTTTCTTCATGTTCAATGGAATATTCTCGATACAGACATTCTGTTTGTGTGTTGGCAATCCGAATTTTCTTTCTTCTTTTTTATATATATATATATATATATATATATATATATATATATATATATATAGGGTGTGGCATCTGTCTGAGAATATATCTTTAGCAAGCCATAAATGGAAGAAAACTGAACATAATGTTACGTAGCATGCCACATATTTTAACATTCTCATAAGTCTTTCAGATGTCTGAAGAGCTTTAGCATAATAGCTTCCAATCTGACACAGGAAATGAAAACCATACTTTCTCATGGCACTAGTCATATACCAGAGGGGATCAGAGATAACTTGCTTCTTGAAAGGGACGAAGTAAATAGGAGAAACAACAGGTAGCTTTTCGCAGACCCAACAATGCTGGCCAGTGACACACAAGGTCATCTTGAATTGGAAGTGGCCATACATGTCCCAGCAGGACTCTAATCCCACCCACATGACCCAATGGCTGACTGGGAATTTTCACAATCATATTTCATGCTTCTAGCTCTTTGGATTTAAATGGCCTGGACTATTACATCCATGGCATTGTTAGATAAGAAATCAACCAGCAGCTTCACAATATCAACAACTCATTGAAGATTGTCATCAGGAGCTGAATGAAAACCACCTGATCTGGGCATGCAGTCACTTCCAAGGCTGCATCGAGGTCGTTCATGAGGTCGAGGGCGGTTTTATTGAATAACCTTTTTTTATTTTGGTTTTGTTTTTTTTTTCTAAATTGAACATGTGTACAATTTCTTTTTAAATATATTGATTTTTTTTCTACTGAGTGTCTTTTTTTATAATTCATTTTCAATTGCCTAGCACACACTGTATCCATATATGGATAGATAGCATCATTTCTATATAAAAAGGGTCTCTTAATTTTTCCTTCTTATTCATCGCTTTCATATTCTCCTTTTGCTGTGACTACTTCTTCTCATCGTTCTCTGGTTAATTTATTTTTAACTCATTAACTTACTTTCCTGGTTTTATTTTCTTTTTTCTTCAATACTTCCTTTCAACTCTTTTTTTTTTTTTTACATTTCTCTTTTTGTATTTTAGCCTTTTCTTTTTCTTCAAGGGGCACTTTTTTATTCTCTTTCTTTCTTCCACTCACTCATGAATATCTTCCTTCTTCCTAATCTTCATCATCTTTTTTTTTCTTTTTTCCCTTCTACTGTATCATCATTCTATTTTCTTAGTTTTTTTACTTTTTAGATTCATCACCTTCCCTCTTTTTTCATCTCCTCCACCTTCTTGCCTTTTTACATTCTTTCTTTATTCATCGCCATCCTTCTTTCCTCATCCTTCTCCTCTTTTCACTTTCTTTTTACTTTCTATATTCCTCACCTTCTTTTTCTCTACCCCTCCTCCCTCTTCCTACTTTTTTACTTGCTTTCAATTTTCATCACTTTCCTTCTCTTTCCCTCTCCTTCTCCTTCCTACCTTTTTACTTTCTTTCAATTTTCCTCACCTTCCTTCTCTTTCCCTCTCCTTCTCCTTACTTTTTTACTTTCTTTCAATATTCCTCACTTTCCTTCTCTTTCCCTCTCCTTCTCCTTCCTACCTTCACCTTTCTTTCAATTTTCCTCACCTTCCTTCACTTTCCTCTCCTTCTCCTTCTTACTTTTTTACTTTCTTTCAATATTTCACTTTCCTTCTCTTTCCCTCTCCTTCTCATTTCCTTTTTTTCCTCTTCCTTCTTTTCATTCCTTCCTTTTACTTTTTCTTTCTTTTTTCCTCACCTTCCTTCCTTTCCCTCTCCTTCTTCTTCTTACTTTTTACTTTCTTTTTCAATATTCCTCACCTTCCTTTTCTTTCCTCTCCTTCTCCTTCCTACTTTTTACTTTCTTTCAATATTCCTCACTTTCCTTCTCTTTTCCTCTCCTTCTCCTTCCTACCTTTTTTACTTTCTTTCAATATTCCTCACCTTCCTTTTCTTTACCTCACCTTCCTTCCTCCTTCTCCTTCCTTCCTTTTTCCCTCTTTCTCCTTCTACCTTTTTACTTTCTTTCAATATTCCTCACCTTCCTTTTCTTTACCTCACCTTCTCCTTCCTACTTTTTACTTGCTTTCAATATTCCTCACTTTCCTTCTCTTTCCCTCTCCTTCTCCTTCTTACTTTTTTACTTTCTTTCAATATTCCTCACTTTCCTTCTCTTTCCCTCTCCTTCTCCTTCCTACCTTTTTACTTTCTTTCAATTTTCCTCACCTTCCTTCACTTTCCCTCTCCTTCTCCTTCTTACTTTTTTACTTTCTTTCAATATTCCTCCTTTCCTTCCTTTCCCTCTCCTTCTCATTTTTACCTTTTTACTTTCTTTCAATTTTCCTCACCTTCCTTCTTTCCCTCTCCTTCTCCTTCCTTTTTTTTACTTTCTTTCAATATTCCCACCTTCCTTTTCTTTACCTCACCTTCTTCTTTACTTTTTACTTGCTTTCAATATTCCTCACTTTCTTCTTCTTTTTCCCTCTCCTTCTCCTTTCCTACCTTTTTACTTTTTCTTTCAATTTCCTCACCTTCCTTTTTTTACCTCACCTTCTTCTTCCTACTTTTTACTTGCTTTCAATATTCCTCACTTTCCTTCTCTTTCCCTCTCCTTCTCCTTCCTACCTTTTTACTTTCTTTCAATTTTCCTCACCTTCCTTCACTTTCCCTCTCCTTCTCCTTCCTACCTTTTTACTTTTCAATTTTCCTCACCTTCCTTCTCTTTCCCTCCTTCTCCTTCTTACTTTTTTTTTACTTTCTTTCAATATTCCTCACCTTCCTTTTCTTTACCTCACCTTCTTTTACTTTTACTTTCTTTCAATATTCCTCACTTTCCTTCTCTTTTCTCCTTCTCCTTCCTACCTTTTTACTTGCTTTCAATTTTCCTCACCTTCCTTCTCTTTCCTCTCCTTCTCCTTACTTTTTACTTTCTTTCAAATTCCTCACCTTCCTTTTCTTTACCTCCTTCTTCTTCCTACTTTTTACTTGCTTTCAATATTCCTTTCCTTCTCTTTCCATCTCCTTCTCCTTTTTTTTACTTTCTTTCAATTTTCCTCACCTTCCTTTTCTTTCCCTCTCCTTCTTCTTCTTACTTTTTTTACTTTCTTTCAATATTCCTCACTTTCCTTCTCTTTTCCTCTCCTTCTCCTTCCTACCTTTTTCCTTTCAATTTTTCACCTTCCTTCTCTTTCCCTCTCCTTCTCCACTTTTTTTTTCTTTCAATATTCCTCACCTTCCTTTTCTTTATCTCACCTTCTTCTTCCTACTTTTTACTTGCTTTCAATATTCCTCACTTTCCTTCTCTTTCCCTCTCCTTCTCCTTCCTACCTTTTTACTTGCTTTCAATTTTCCTCACCTTCCTTCTCTTTCCCTCTCCTTCTCCTTCTTACTTTTTTACTTTCTTTCAATATTCCTCACCTTCCTTTTCTTTACCTCACCTTCTTCTTCCTACTTTTTACTTGCTTTCAATATTCCTCACTTTCCTTCTCTTTCCCTCTCCTTCTCCTTCCTACCTTTTTACTTTCTTTCAATATTCCTCACCTTCCTTTTCTTTACCTCACCTTCTTCTTCCTACTTTTTACTTGCTTTCAATATTCCTCCTTTCCTTCTCTTTCCCTCTCCTTTTTTACCTTTTTACTTTCTTTCAATTTTCCTCACCTTCCTTCCTTTCCCTCTCCTTCTCCTTGTCCTTTTTCCTTTCTTTCAATATTCCTCACTTTCCTTTTCTTTCCATGTCCTTCTCCTTTCTGATTTTTACTTTCTTTCCATATTAACAACCTTCCTTCTCTATTCCTCCTCCTACTCCTACTCCTCATTCTCTTATATTGCCATAAATGTTTGACAAGGAACTGAGATGAATAGAGAATTTTTTATAAAAAAATACAAGATTTTCTGTCTTTCTTTTAATAGCTGCGTTCACCTGAATTCTTATGCGAGCATCCACTGCGGAAAATCACCTTTGTCAATTTCAACATTGGGGCAGCAATATTGATTTTACTCTGCACTCAATTCACAAAGGCTTCCAAAGAGTTTTAAAAGAACAAAATTAAAATATTAAAAAAATTGATTTTTTTAAAATTCAGGCAAAAAATGGAAAAAAAATACTAAGAAAAATTTAATTTCTGAAAAAAAATAAAGAAAAGTTGTTTTATATGAGAAATGTTAAAACTCCTCATTATGATTGCTCCATTCATTATCAACATAATATATCTATGTTACTATTATCATCATTGTACCAATTATCAACATCATATACATATATTTTGTTATCATCATCATTGTAGCTGTGAACATTATCAGCATCATATACATCTATATTATTATTAGCATCACTGTAGCTATTGACATTATCAGAATTATATATTTATTTCACTATTATCACCATTGTAGTTAAATTTTTTTATCATTTCCAAACAAAGTGATAATGCCACTAGAAAACTGGGAAGAAGAGGTTACTCCCTGAGTGAAAGTAAAAGAGAGTGAAAAGACTGAGAATGGGGAGGATTGAGGAAAGGACAAAAGAGGAACATAGAGAGAAAATGGTGATTGATGTTGCATTTATATTTTTGAAGATTGTAGTTATCAGGTAAGCAAGAAATCAAAATGGAGTTCCACAGGTGGGCAGTGAGTGAAAAGAAACTGTTAGAATAGAATTCAACAGTAAAATGGTGAGAACTAGTTGCCAATATAGTAAATATGCTTAAATTCATGTATTCAGGTCATCAGGGGAAAAAGCTCATCAAAGCAGTTGCCATGAAAATATTTGTAGAAAAGACAGAGGGAAGCCACATCACATCTGTGAGAAAGTGACTGAAGTCAAGATGCCAAGTTAGGATCAATTATATTGCAGATACTCCTTTGGACAGCAGGAGCACCAGACCAGATATGGCAACAGTATTCAATACATGGATGAATGGTAGATTTATAAATGTGCAAGATGGATTCTGACATGAAAGATTTTTTGTTATGACACAGTGAACCAACTTTCCTTGCAATAGATGCTGTAATTGATTCAATATTATTAAATCTGAAGTTAAGAAAATTGATTCACTATGTTGTGCTAGACAATTTTCCTTGCCAGAATCTATCTTAAATATTTATAAGTTTACTATTTCCCCATGATTTGAATATTGCTGCCACATCTGGTCTGGTGCTCCTGCTATATATTTAGAGATTCTTGATAAAATCCAAAGAAGAATCTGCAATGTTATTGGTACTGACCTGGTACCTTTCCTACCACTGTAACATAGCCTTTTCTATAAATACTTTCAAGGTAATTGTTCTAATGAACCTTCCACTATGGTACCTAGACTTTCTGAATTTGAGTTCAGTACTAGATTGGTGGGAGGTCTTATCATTTTACAGTTGAAATGGCTAGATGTAACCATAAGTCCTATGCTGACAGTTTCTTCATTCACACTTCTCATTTGTGGAACTCTCTTCCAGTTTCTTGCTTCCCAGTCAACTTTGATCTTTAAAAAATTAAATGCAATGTCAATCATTATCTTCTATCTTGTTAAGTGTTGTTCTATTATTGTCCCTTCTTGTTAATAGTAGTTTTTTCATATTCTGTAACACTCAGTAACCCCTTGCATTCTCATGACTTTATTGCCTTGCTTAGGATGAAATGATTAAAAATTACATATATATATAGTCACTCACTTCATGGCAGTGGAAAATGTGAGAACAAGAAGGCATAGAGTGTTTGTCTTTTGGAGTTTAGCATCAGTCATGCAGATGGCAGGCAGGAAATTGTCTCTGTGATGATTAAATGAAAGCAGTTTTGTTTTGGAGGCGTTAGAATTTACAAGCCATTTCTTGTCCCAGTTAACCACTGATTGGAGGTCCTTTTCAAGAGCAGTTGCCAGTTTTACTTTGTCAGATCTGTCAGATTTGCTACTGAGACAGGAGTAAATGTTTGTTTCATCTGCATATATGCCTAGTTGGCTACTGTATCAACATTATCAACATCATATATCTATATGTTATCATTACTACAGCTATTATCAATATTCCATACCTATGTTGTTATTATCATTGATACTGTTATTAATCAAGAACCTATACTGGCAGAAAGCTACCTGCATATGGATAGAAAATGAGTTCAGCAGATATATAAAGATAGAAAGGGATATAAGATAAGGATGTGTCTTCTCACTGGACCTATTTAATATATACAGCAAGGCAATTCTGAGAGAACTAGAAATCCTACCAGGATTCATTATTGGTGGCCACAAACTTAGCAACAAAAGGTATGTAGATGACACAGTTGCATAGCGGACACAGAAAGAAAGCTACAAAAAATACCTACAGAAGGTAGTGAAGGAAAGTGAGAAGAAAGGATTAAACATCACGAATACAGAATGCATGATTGTTAGCAAAAGGATAAGGCCCAAGTGTGAATTGCAAATCAGAGGTACTAAAATCAAACAAGTGTGGAAATTTAAATATCTGGGAAGTGTTTTAACAGAGGATGGAAAGAGCAACACTGAAATCCAATATAGTATTCCAAAAGTTAAGCAGAATACTAAGAAATAGGAAAATAGTACTAACTTACGTGATATCTGTCCTCCTGTATGATAGTGAGTGCTGGACGATCACCACAAAGATGAAGAGGAGACTTGAGGAAATAGATATGTAGTTCTACAGAATGATGCTGAGGATACCATAGACCAAGCATATGACCAATGACAAAGTTTTTAAGAAAATAGAAACAAAACAAAAACTAATACTTAACATCAAGAAGAGACAGTTGAGATTGCTGGAGCATATAATGAGGAAGGAAGGCTTGAAAAATTTGATACTCATGAGACAGTTAGAGATCAAGAGGGACAGGAAAACAGCGTATAAAATACTTAGTGAGTTTGAGTAAATGGATGGAAGAACAAGGCTTAGGAGAAATAGAGAAAGACAAAATTAAGAGCTACAAGGACAGGAAGTTGTGGACAGCCATGATCACCTATGACCTGAGGAGACATGGCACATAAAGAAAGAGAGACCATCACCAATCTGTGTCATTTTCATAATGATTACAACTACGACAGATGGTGCCATGACCGCAGATTCTGAGGGTAGGGACAGATACACTAAATTACAAATATTCATTTTTGATTAGTGATGGCAGCAGCCAGTTAAATCATTTTTTTTTTTTAATTTAGTTCTCTTCATTTCTTTAATATTAAAATACACAATTATTTTTATTGCTTTTTATTGTACTTGTAATCTATTTTATAATAAATGAGAAATGTGTTAATTAATTGGTACACAGATTTTGGGTGTAATGTTTTATAACATGATTCACTTGCTAAAATGGTTCATTTTTATTTGATTATGCTGTTAGTGCAGGACAAGTGACAGTCTACATTAATGATATAATGGAACATGCATACACCTGTGTTCCCCCTCACTGGAATATGTGTCCGTCATAAATATCAACAGACGTGTAGGTGAGTCAGAGCCTTAATCTAAGAGCTAAGTCTATAACGACGCCCATTGGACTACGCCATTGATCTACACTTCTTACCTGTGACTATGACACGTATCTGTCGATTACTGCTACCGTATTCTACTTGGTTATAGTAGCCAATACCACTTAGCTACTTCGTTCAAATATATCCCTTTCCGGGACATATCAGTTAACAACATATTTTTCTTGCTAAAGTCTACCTGGTAAATGAAGTATATCACAAAAATCATTTCAGCTAAGTGTCAACCAGAAAGAATTGAACCCTAATTTATTGTATCTGCACTTCAAGGTAATTATTTTGTCTTTCAAAATGTTTTACAAAATATAAGTTGTTTTATGCTTCAACCGAATATTACTTAGTAAATATCATCATCATTTGTAGAACTTGTTGCCAAGTATTGCAGTGCTCATAGACATTTCCTTCTGTTGGATCTGAAGAAACATCCATTCATGGTAGGCTAAGAGGGTTCAGGGGAGAGAGAGCTCTGGCTTTTCTTTGGGCTCTCTTCATCTCTTCTATTTGTCTTTTGGTGTTTTCAAAGGATGTTGTTTTTTCATGGACTGCTTTTCTCCAATTGGTTCTTTCTGCAGATTCCATCTCCAAAATGATCAGATTGATTTCTGTCCTCAGCAAGGTGTTTTTGATCTGATCCTTGAATCTATGACATAGGGCTCCATATGATCGCTTACCAGATGTGAGCTCTGAGAAGTGGATTTGTTTGGGTATGCAGATATATGGCATTTAGGTAAGATGTCTGGCCCATTATAGTCGATGGCAAGTCACCATGGTTTCTAGGCTCTCCATCTTTGCTTGGAGAACTTTGTTGTTCATGATCAAGTCCTGCCATAAGACATGAAAAGAAGAAAAGAACATGAAAGCCTTAGCTGCAAAGTGTTTGAGATGGTCCATGGGTTGCCACTCCATGGCACACACACTTCAGCTGACACTATCTGCTGCAGCAAACTAGGGCTTGACAGGGAAAGTTCATGATGACAATTTGCATCAGGCTTCTTTGATAATGACAACTTGCATCAGGCTTCTTTTATGTAGAACGTTGCCTTGACTGCCTACCCACTGGGCATCAAATTGTTTCTAGTCTGGTCCTTTCCAAGTATATAGCACTAACAACATAAGAAATAATCATTGTTTTTTATGTCATTTAGATTGCATGTTGCAGATATAGGACAAAACAGTGTGCTTTTGTTAAAAGTCACTGAAACAAGAAATGCAAAATTTATTTCAGAAGAATATCAGAGAGAGAAAGCAATATAAATGCAGAAATACATATACCTGTGTTTCATAGACTA